TTTCAAATAAATTACACGGAAATTACACGGAAAACAAATTTTACGGCCCAAGTTTTAAAACTATTTAACAATTTACCACTCATATTTACACGTTACACCTAATTCGGTTGCTCATCAACTTGAAAAAAAACGGGGAAAACATATTTTTTGACTTTTCTTTATTTTTGAACCGGCTATTTTTATTACAAATTGTTTCGTTAGAAAAATTATATCTAACGGTTGCAACAAAGGCTGTTCTGCGGTTTTTCGTATAAACACCTGAAAGCCCCCAATTATCAATTATTTATACTTGTACAGGAGTGAAGAGAATATGTATGAGGAGGTGGTGGAACAGCAGAGCCACCAGCAGCAGCACAACAACAGACACAGACACTACATGCAAGTGACTCTAAATGAAGTGTTCTCTATTAGGAAACTGGAGAAGCTCTTCATCATGATCGCCAGACACTGCTGCTTCTACGCATGCATCAAAATGGATTTCATGGTCAGTACAGTTTTGTGGTTCTGGTAAAGAAAGCAATCATTTTAAGATCATGTTTAACACATACACCTTTGGACAATTTACTCTAAGAGTTGACAACTTGCTTCAATATGTACCACATGTAAGGGTGAAACGCACGCCAAAAAATATTTTGTTTTATTTAACAATTTGTGGGACGCGAAACATCACCTTTGTCTACCCAAAAATATCAACAAAATTTTTCTGAAAATTTGGTACATTTTACCGATTTTTGGCGATGAACTGATAAAAAAAAACTGATTGAACCAAACTTGAAACTAATTTTAGACTAACTCCAAGATTGTACTTAAGTCAAGTTTTTCGTATGTAAGATGTGAGCAATACTAGGTCAAATCGATTCTGCTGGAGGCAGCTGACTTCCTGGTGGAGTCCCTCATATTCGACTGGATGATGAGCAAACTGGGTGGGATGAAAGGATGGGCACAAGTATACGAGATGGAGAAAGAAATCGATGCAGGTAATCGATGGGGTCAAATTGAAGCATGTGTACTCCTCAATTACTCTAAATATTTTATTAACAAACATTTTTTTTTATTAATTAACATTAAAACACTCGAATCTGCAGTATGCCCTTCTAATGATAACATAGCTCTCAAATTCATTGAGACTTTTGGCGTTTAGTTGTCGGATTTGCTCATAATTTTGTACCAATAGTTAGAAATTACAATGAAGTAGTAGATTATAAGAAAAAAAGCTGACTAACAGGCGTATTCATTTTTTTCCACAAATCAATTGCCTTACCAGGTGCTTCAGGCTTGTTTAATTATGTATTTTAGAAAACTATGACATAAAGTTTATGTTTTATTAGTGTTGTATTAGGAAGAGCAAAAGCGCCTTCGAAGGTGAATGGGAGGAAAAACAACCTAGCGGGAAACCAAAACGGGCCCAATAATAAGACAAGACAACAAGAGTCTGCGTATGGCAATCGAAATATGGCTGGTGGAGACTATGGAGCTGTTGGTCTGCAACAGCAGCAGAGGATGAAGAACCAGAAGCAAGCCAGAGTAGAAATGCAAGGAGGCCAGAATGGGAATAGGTTGGGTCTTTTCGGATCTATTTGGCTCTATAATTTCTAGGTCATGGTCATGAATACTAAAATACTATACACTGAGCGCATAATTTGGAATACTTATGATCGAAAAGACCCAATAGGTCCAGGAACAACGGCCAGCCACCGCAGAAAGAAAACCCCAAATCAACTGGCTGCAGTTGTGTTATAGTTTGAGAAATTGAGTATGAAAACTGCTGAGGAAACAAAAAGAAACAAAATGATTTCAAAAAGATAGTGCACAATTCATTTTTTGTGTTTTTTTGCTCATGTAGAATGCTGAAACTAATAATTCATCGTTTATTAGAGAACCTCAAATCCAAGGAAATAAAAGAAGAAACATGTCAAACATAAGATTGAAATCACTCCTAAAAAATTTTGACATTAATCAGTTCTTGATTTTGTAACAGTACAATGATGAAAATTTTGCCAAGATAATGGCGGTCGGATTAGTTCATCCATCATTTCTATGAACGATCAGTTCATCGAAGGCCACTTCGCAAGGTAGTGGGCATAACCAGGTTTCTCTCCAAACACATCACATCAAATGCAACAATCATCAAACACCTTATATTTCATCACAGTGCACCACCATTAAGCTTGGAAACTCGAAAAAACCAAAGTTATATATTTTCGACCTATACATTTTTAAAAGTTTTTTGTGGTTGTAATTTTACAATGTTCGAAAACATAAACGCTAACTTTTTTGAGTTTCCGAAGTTCTTCAGGATTGACTATTTTTTCCATTAAACCTAACTCAATTTTCTTAAACTCACTTAAAATTTTTGGATTTGGAACCAACAGTTGAGTGCCTTTTATGCGTCGTTTGCTAACTGACACCAAAAGCAAACGGACACCAAAAGGTCACTTAGAGGAAATTTGAAAAATCTCAAAACCTAATTAAGTATTTAGTCTATTCTTTCCTTGCCATTTTTTGAAAAATGAGGATTAAATGATGAAAAGCTAAGGAAAAAAGAAAATAAATACTTTTTTTTTGTTTCCTCTCAGTGAGTCCTTTTGGTGTTCAGTTGTTAGCTTCAGTATGATTTCGATTACAATGAAATTAATGAAAAAGCAAGTTACGCTCAACTGTTGGTTCCAGGCACTCTACTGTTGGTTCCAAAAGATTTTTAATTTACCACCGGAATAAGAAAGTTGTCCATCGTACCAGTTCTCTCAAATTGAGTTAGGTTTAATAAAAAAAAGAGCCAATCTTGAAGAATAAGGAAAGCCAAAATAAGTTAGGGTTATATATAATTTTTGAAAATGTATAGATCAAAATTTTAAAATCCTGATTTCTTCGAGTTTCCAAACCCAATGGCGGTGTACTGTGATGAAATAGAAGGTCGATATTTGTTGCATTTGATAAGATGTGTTTGGAGAAAAAACTGGTTATAGCCACTACCTCGCGAAATGAAACTTAAATTTTTTGAAAGCAGTTAGATATCCTTTGACTTTTATTTCATTAATACATCATTTTTTTTAAATGAGGATTAAATGATACAGTGCTGTGTTAATCAAATAAAATTTAAATGATGTCTAACTGCTTTCAAAAAATGTAACTTTTATCTCCAGAAAAAATTATACTTAAAAATTTTGAAATCTTAAATTATGAACAAAACTATTTATAAACTAAGGTAACTAATTGCCGTGCAAGTAGCTGAGAATGTTCCGACTGTTTCAAATCGTTTTTCTTCGGCACTAGGGCATTTTTTTAAATTTTTTTATTTTCGTTCGAATCACGACTGAAAGGGATCTTTCGTGTGGAAAACAATTTAAAAAGTTAATGCATAAATACACAGTCCATATTTGATTGTCCATATTTTGCAATGCTTGTTGTCCTTATTGCACAATCTCTTACAGGTGGGATTAGCTTGAAAAAAAGTGTCTACTAAAAATATGTAAAATTTTTAACAATTGACTTAGTCTTGTGCCGTTTATTAATGTGGCATTTAGGTATGAGCTTTTAGTTATTCTACGGTCACCTTAATGGTTTAGCCGAACTTGTTTTGCAAAAATTTTACAGTTTTGTTTTCAAAATTTTCAATAGTTTGCCAACAATAAGTCAAAATATTAACAATTTCTTATTGCATACATGTGGCTCTTTCACAAAATTGTCTCCCAAGCAGTTAATAAGTCCCTTCTCTGCGCCTTTTTTCTCCTCCCACCCTTCCTCCAATTTTTCAGGTATCATTTTTTACCAGATAGTTAGAAACAACGGCATACGGAGAAATACAGCCCTGAATAACAAATTAACTCTCCGCGTTTAATTTTATTAAACCACTCAATACACTGGAACAAAGACAAAAATTAGCATCCGGTTAACCAAAAAGTTTGGTGAGTCATGCTTTGAATTTTTTAAAATAGGATAGGGGCTAAGGTAAGAAAAAAACAAAACATATTTAAAAAAAAAATTCAAAGTTTTGAAGTAAAAACACCATTTTGCGATGAGAATTAGTTCTGTACATCAATTTTTATCATTTTCGAATCGAACTAATTTTTCCTGAAAAAAACGTATCGCGAATTTCGATCTTAAAAGTCTCGTTTTTCTGGTTAGTTTAGCTGAATCGCATGATATTGTTACTGTACTTCTCGTTTTTTTACAAGCTGTAGTTATGAACCTATCCAGCAGTCATGTGACAAAGTGTCAAATGAACAAGAAATTTTAAAACCCTTAGTTTTCGGTTTTCAAAAATAAATCACGTTCAGGCTTTTTCTTTTTAAGAATCTTTTCTGATCGACCCTGAGAGATAAGTGTGCTAGTACTATTTTAATTCCTACCAGTTTTTTTACGTAATCTTTTCCTCAAACTATTTTGATTACTTAAGCTCCAAGGAATTCGTCTACAGCCGTTGTTACGACTCAAAGAAATTATAAAGATTTTTAGATACTCAAAACCTTCCGAAGACTTATTTGCGAATCAAACTTTGTGTTACGTTTTCAATGCCTCCCAGAAAATATTTCATTTTTTCAAGAGTATAAATTATTTGAGCATCGTGCATTTTATCACGTTGATAATTGGCATTACCGGCCGATATAGTGACATGTCATAAGTGGAAGTATAAGTGAAAGGTTATAGACTAAGAACATGAATGTTTATCAGTAATGTACAGTGTTTTCCTGCAAAGAGGCTGGTTGCGTTTTCTTTTCCCAAGCTATGTTTGTATTCGGGTGTGTTTTAGTTTCTTTTTCTTTTTGTTTTCCACGCAAAATCAGGTACTACAAATAATCATCGGACTGGATTGAGTGATATACCATATCAAAGCCATTTCAGTCGTGATTCGAACCACGTTGAAAACTAATACTATATTAATCAATCAAAATCGAGATGAAACAGCAAATTTAAATAAACAAATATTAAATGTTAATTTCGTACGTTTTCTTTCGTATCTCAATTCTGATTGGGTAATATAATACTGACAAGCATGAATACTCGGTTGTCTACTTACTGCTACGTAACCGTTATTTAGCCTAGTAAAACAGCTAGCATCGTCAATTTGGCAGAAATTCAACAAAAAGCCAACATTTTTCAAGCAACAAAAGAAGATATGTAAGATTAAAATTAACTAAAATATTACTTCAATTGAAATTATTTGCACGCGCTCAAATATCAGAAACTAAAAACACTAGCCTTCCGGCTTGCTCCATATTACAAATGTTACAGCTGACCATGAGTTTAAGTTACTGTGACCCAATAGATAATCAGTTCAAAAGCACACCTCTGAAAAAAAGAGGTTTATTAATTAACTGAATTTAGTTTAAAAGTCTCCAATGCAAAGAGTTGACGGTTAAAACATTGACCATCAAAACGGTCAATGAATGTGCATAACTTGGTTCGCTGCTCTTCAATCCTCACCTCAAATCGATCAGAAGTAAGAAATTTTCGATTCAATCGGTGATCCATTTCGTTCAGTATTCGCTGGCTGAGGAGCAATCAAAGTAACTGATTTGCGGAACCTGTCGCCCATTCTTCGACTTTTCAGCTCCAGTTCTAACTTTCTCCTCGCTCCAAATGTCATGCCGAGATCGCGCATGTCACTTTCAGTCAGTGACAGCAAGGTGTCCATATCGTATATCTAACAAATCAAACTAAATTTTAGTTGGTGGCGCTCTTATCGACGATACAGCTGCTGCATTATAAATTTTCCACGCTTTACTTGACATAAACAATCTTTTATCAAAATAGTTAAGAATTTATTGAAAAACACTCATTTCCTTTGTTTGACGTATCCTATTCCAGGAATGAAATGGCAGATTGAAATGAAACTTACCTCTTGTTCTCTGAAAAGTTCGATGTACTTGGATAGTCCACTGTTTCCCAGAACTTGTGCCACAGTTTCCACATTACTTGATGCTGGAAAAGATCCATGGGACAACACGTTGGACTGGAACTCTGACTTGGCATCCGAACTGGTCTCGGGTTCATTTCTTTGCACGGAACCCATCTGCGAGTACACATTGTCCGCACCAAAATTACCAAATGTTGATGTGTTATAGTTGAGCGGTTTGCCCATAGAAGCTATAGGCTGTCTCCGGAATACTCTGGAAAGAACGTCAACTTGATTTGAAATGGCGAAGTTCGCATTATTGTCTCTTCGCATATAATAGTTTGAGCTTGGTTTCGCATTTAGATTCATCGAAGTCAATTTATCGTCATCGTTATCCGCGCTCTCCTCTTTTACTGCTCCTGGTTCATTTCTTTTTAGGCTTCCAAGGGACGAGTTAGAATTGGAAAATGAAAGAGGCCTGTCACCTGGTGCACCATGTTTGCTGATCTGTTTCTCGCTGGGGTTGGAGTGAATGGCATCGTACTTCCACGCGTCTCTACTTGCACCCTGTAAGCAGAATATAAATTTAAATCAAATATCGCACAAATGACCGTCGGTCCCATGTAAACCTCCCATGCAAAAAGGAACAAGTCGACTCAAAAATCAGATAAAGGAATAGAGGCAAAAGAGGCTTTCTACCACCAGAAAAATTGATGCAAACAAGCAAGCCTTGTTTGCCATTCAAATGATAATTTAAGTCGAACTTACCCCTGGCGACAACTGAGTGCGTGCTTTGTCGTCCTCGTCCTCTTCAAAAACACTGTCTCTGTTTATAGCAAGCAGTCTACTGTTGCTCCCACTAACTCCGTTGGAATTTTGCACATCCGCTGCTGTTGCCGCGGTGGCATCTAAGACTCCGGCGCTGTTTATCTTCAATCCCAGTGCTTTCAATGCTGACAAAGGCATAGACCTTGAAAAGCCCATACCAGCCCAACCCAAGTTAGGAATGCGCAATTCTGGCTGCTCTCCGACCTCCTGCTCTATAGCGTGCAGAGCAGCTAGCCGCTTCCGATCTTGTTCAACTAGCTGAAACACACAAATTTAAACTATTCAAGTCGAGGACATTCGGTTTTATGAAAACACAACCCATTCGACCGATTTTAGTTGTGTATTAAAATTGATTGATTATGTGTAAACTTGATAAACACTAAGTTGCAGCAATAAAATTGATTCTTTTGCGTTTCAGCTATGCTCGCTACAATAGAACAAGACAAGCCGATGAACTAGCAAAGCAATATCGTACCAGACTATTAAAGAAGGCTGAATCAGCCAGTGGCATCTGCTGTCTGTCTCTCTGTTCAGATGTTGCATTTTGGGTATCCGTATCTGCTCCCGGGGTCAAGGTCTTATTAGTGACGACACTTCCAGTGGTAGACACACCTTCATTCACGTCGCCGAATCCTACAAAATTTGGTCTATTCTGGTCGGGGAAAGACTGTGCTCCTTGTTGTCCGGACACGTCAGCAGCAATTCCTGCTTTCCTATTGGCCAATTCAATCAAAAGTGAACTAGTCAGGGAAGCCGCTGCTACGTTACCATGACTCTCTGGGACTGATGCAGGATTGCCGTTGAAAGATGCTCCGAAACTTCCACTTCCTTGATCTGCAAAAACACCATTGCTTAGGTATTTTGCAAAACGCGGTCAGTAGTTCCTTTTCCGATTAGTTTCCACTGCTTTTTTATTTCCATGCAACCGACTATGTTTTGACAGATCAAACTATGCTGTCCATTTAAGCAAACAGTCATAATTATATAGCACAGCTTACTTCAAAAACAATTCATTTGCAAGGATGGGAATTAAAAATTTGTCTACATAAGTCAATATCATGTTCCCAAGCGCTCTGGCGCGTTTTTCAAAGGATGATGGCAGGCGAGAAAGGTGATTTGGAGATAAAATTTGAAAATTAGCTCAAAAAAGACCTTGAATTTCAAAGTTCAATTTTGAGTTTTCAACTCAATCAAAAATCAACATTGAAATTCAGAGATTTTTCGGAAAAAAAAACGGGATCGATAGGTAATTATTTTATTTCACTGGGAAATCTGAAATTTAATTTTCGCTGTTCTTCATCTCGATAGTTGAGTTTGTCTTCCTTTCAACGAAGGAAATGAACTGAACTTAAGAAATCAGAAGTCAAACCGCAAAAAAAGTAAATTTGAGCCTGACGAAAAAAAAATATCACTGCCTATATAAGAGTCTGAACTGCATTCACCGACTCTTAGCAATAAAAAGACAGCCGATTTCTCTGCAATTAATACCGAATATTTCGATCAAATTTATTTAAGAAGAAATTCAACAACAAAGAAAATTAAAAAAAAAAATAAAAAATTTCCTGATTTTTTTTTCAGGAAAGGGCAATTGAATTTGGTAAAATGCTTTGTTCTTTTCGTCTTTGAGAGTGGGTTGAATTAAAATCCTTATCACTGAATGCTTATCACAAAAATGCTTATCATTGAATCACTGGATTTAACAGAAAACTTATTGAGAACAGTCATTCATTGCTCGCAATTATGTTAGAAAATTAGAAGAACGAGCATGCACACCTCTAGTATTAGATTCGGTCTGTCCGGCAGCAGATACAGCAGCGGTAGGTGGTCGACTCCTGTTGTTATTATTATCATCAGCTTCCACCTCACAATTAGGATTAGTGTTGACGGTGAGTTTGTCAGGCGAAGTGCCGGATGCATTGTCTAAGCACCACCCCACATACTGGTTAATTAGATTAAGTGCCTCTAAAAATGTTATCATAGATATGATTGTTAAGTATTAAACTTTTTGCAGATGAATTGCTCAATTTGGAAAGCTGAAAACATTTCATCTGGTCATCAGCCAAAATTAGAAAACAACTGCAGAACAAAGTTAAATCTGGTGACAGAAAGAGAGAGAGAGAGGTGCTGAAAACAACAACTATATATAGACATTAGACAACAAAAAGAGATCAACATACCAGATGAGACGGAACAACGCTCGTCGCCAGAGTGCTCGGTTGGCACTGGGACCTTGAGACTGCTCATCTGCTCCAGTGAGTTCTGTCTCCGAACTTGATTATCTGTCTCACTTACAACAGTAGCAGTAGAAGCAGAGACATGTCTGTCCAGCTTAAAAGATAACAAGCTTCTTTTAAGGATCTTCACAAGCAGGATACTCGAAAAAACTTCACAAAATTTCACTCGTTTGATCTGGATCTGACATCAGTCACAATAAAAACGATAAGTTTAACCATAAAAACGATACGTTTAACCAGGTTTGAAACAAATAGGAATCTAGCAATTAAATCATTTATCATTAACCAACAAGTCAGAAATCAAAGAAGGAGATAAGAAATGGCTACTTGTAGTTGCATTCTGTTCAGTTCTTCTTCCAAGTATCCAGCCATCAACTGACGGGAGAGAGGCGATCCTGCAGTTGCTGATGCACTGGGCTGAACACTGGCATTCAATTGTTGCAGCAGTAGAATCTGTTCAGCATTGAGTGCTTGTGCACTTGTCTGTGAACTACCCATTTGCGTTAGTGACTGTTGCTGATTGGCCAATAGATGCTCAAACATGGTCTGTTGTGACTGCAGCATCGAATTCATCATCAATTGCTGGTAGACTGAACAAAAAGGTCCTTGGATTACTAGTAACACTGAGATTTGAGCATGTCCATGTCGTCTTTAAAAAGTTTTCACGGCAAAAACCTTAACTTAGCAGATGAATTTGACTTTGATTTCACACAGGCGAAGTTGCACTTCGCATACACAAAAAAAATGACCGATACGCTACTGGGAAAAACTGAATGCGTAAAACTTTGAGCCTACAAATTTTCTTAAATGACGCAGGCCATGACGCACTAGCAAGACCAGTCCATTTAAAAAAAATATCAATTAACATGTCTCATTTTATAGAGCAGTCTATGGAGCAGTAATAACATTTAAAAAAATCAATTTTAATAAAAATAATAATTTATTTTTAAATTTGAGATATTTTGTGAAAAAAAACCCACACCCCATTAAGTATAAAGTGATAAATTTTGCTCTTAACAAAACAATTATGGCAAATAAGCTTCCTTCAACCAATTTGGAACGATTTATATGACGGATTAAATCTCCGCTTAAGCGTTAATAGCGCGAAACATATCGCGCGTTAATTGTCCAAATTGACATTTTGTAAAACCCAAAAACTTTACAAAAATGCTTGCAGGTGAACTGTTTTTCCAAATTGAAGCTCAGGACAGCAATACTTTTTGAATGATAAAAAAAAATCCCGTCAAAAATGGCTAGTTAAAAAGTCGAAATTTCTCTGAAGAAAAAAAAACACCCCGAGCACAAATATTCCGTTACTTTCGTTACAAAAGTCGGAACAAGACTGCTCGTATTAGGGTGAAGCCCTGAATGTTCCGACTGCCTTTTTAACTTTATGGAGCAGTAATAACATAAATATCATGAACAAAATAAATGTAATGAAATAATATGAAATTTTTTTAATCTAAAACTTGAGATTTTTTGTGAAAACTATCCCCTACACGCCATATAAAGTACAAAAAGATATATCTTGCTCCTTGTAATAAATCAATTATGGCAAATGAGCTTCCTTCAACCAATTTAGAACGATTTCTAAGACGGATTTAATCTCAGCTTACGCGTTAATCGCACGAAATATATCGCGCGTTAATTGTCCAAAATTGGCCGAAATGGCAACCTTTAAACCCCCATAAATTTACAAAAAATGATCACATATTAAATTTTCAAATTTATGCTCAGGAAAACAATACCTTTCGAATGACTTAAAAATTCCGTCAAAAATGGCTAGTTAAAAAATCGAAATCTGAAGAAGAAAAAAACGCCACACCGAGCACAAATATTCCGTTACTTTCGTTACGAAAGTCGGAACAACAATAATAGTCTGTGTTGATATCTTTAGCATTGGCTGTACTTAACAGCTGGTTAGTGATCAAAATGAACAAAACAATATTTGCGACTTAGGTTGGAAAAAAGATAGTTCATACTATAACACAAGCTTTGCTTGTGTAAGCAAGATTTGTTTTGAATTTTTTTTGTATTCATATAACACTCACATGGATTGTTCATCATGGCTTGAGGACAGGCAGTGGTCGCAATAGCGTCCTTCTGAAGACGCAGACTATTGGGAATTGCTTTTGCTCCACTTGGACCCCACTGCACATGTCCTGAACTACCAGGAATTCCCGACATCTGCTGTGGTTGGTATTGCGTCATTGCTTGCATTGGCAGGGGCACTTGCATCGGCACTCCGTAGTTCGTCTCCATATGCATTTTCTGCTCCTGGTTCAGATATCTGTTGTTTGGAACAACCACTGGCTCCCCTGCCGGATTGACCTCGTCGTCATAACCTAAATAGTTCACATCTCATCATGAGCGGAAATGTCTGAACTATCCATATCTTTTCCGGATTAATTCAGTCATTCAATGTACGTTATTGGATCAATTTCAATACCTAGAAGGCGTCTGACTTCATAGCAGGCGGCTATGTTCCTCTCGAATGTCTTCACGACTACACTGGAGGCGGCCATTTTGGGCTTGTACTTGACGTTGATGTGGCAGTCCAACTTGTGCGATATGGCTTCAATCTCCTCCTGTCTGCTTGCTAGGTCCATCGGAGCGTCAAACAGAAACACAACGGGCAAGCTGGCCTGAAATTAAAAACGGTATTTTAAAAGAGTTCATGATAACCGAATTTTTGATTGCAATAGGATTGCAAGGATAGCTACATAGATTAACAACGAAATCCCGAGTCGAGGGATCGAACTCTTGATTTATTAACCGCAGCACCACTTTTCACACAACAAAGAAGCGAAGCACTACCTGCGATACAAAAAAACATAGCCAACAAACAATTGGAAAATGGCAATTGACGTTCAGAAACCGAAAAACACTGGCCCGTTTTTTTAAAGAAAAAATTAAAGGAACAGGTAGATGACCTGAAAGCTCTTTCAATTTCAATAACCTTTTATGATTGATACTTTTTAATAAATCTAACGAGGGGCGGAACTAGGATTTCCATAACATTTTCGAAAATTTTATCGGCCTTTTTTTAATCGACAAATTGATTTTCCGAGCACTCCCACATCACGGACATCCGCCCCTCTCCTCCCCCTTAAATCCGACCCTGACACTAACCCAATTTGAGAAAGATGTTTAAATTGGTATTATAATAATAATAATAATGTGGCTTCTCGGCCCAAGCTAAAAACTGGAAACGAAGGGCGCGTTGCCCAAAACAAAGATAAAACACAGCAACATGTCACGATCCATTTAAGTTGGGAAAAAGCACAAGTCTCCAGGTGCAAGGTCTGTCAGTGGAATATGTATTAACAAAATAGCTCCAGTAGTGTTTTTTCAGTCTAGCTTGATTGCTTTCAGCCCAATAGAGTTGTGGAAGTCAATGCAATTGTCAAGTTTGTTGGCAAGCACAGTTGTCCGGAATTGTTAAATTATTTTCCAGGATTTGTTCAATCCAGTCATATCACGAAGTTGTCAGGACATCTACATTGTTAAACAAAAGGGTTTTCCATGATTTATTTTGTGGCCTCGTCCCCGTCCACTCGAGCGACAGAATAACTCTTAGTCAGTTCACGTTTATTCACGGGTAATCCATTGGAGAGTTGTATCAAGTACTGCTTGTGGTTGGAACAAGCCTTTCCCAGAATGCGATAGGCTTTGTGTAATGACTTATGTTCTACAACTTTGAGGATTGCTTGTGGATTGTCGGTGAAGAATACCGATACCGAGTGACCGCTGTCAATGCTTCTTATGATTTGCTCGAAGTCATATTGGACAAGCAGTTCTAACACATCTGCCTCAAAGGTATCCGCTGAAGTCATGTTGTTCCAATCTGTAGGCGGAAATAGATATCACCTGTGATAATGGTGAAATGGCATCCATAGCATTTCCGAGTTCTATCTATAGAGGACAATAAGCATTGGAATTTATTTAGACTCCATCGATAGACACTGTTTGTTGGTGCACAGTAGACTGAGCACACGAGAAAGTTAGAGTTATTTCGCTTGGAAAGAACTGCAACGGCATCATTTTCACTTCTGTCAGTTGGGAAAAGTTTGAGGTCGGTAGTTGAGAGTGAGTCTTCTCAAACTGCGACTAGAACACCTCCATGCTTAGTGCCGCCACTGGACGTAAACTGTCTGTCGGATCTGTGGACTGCGTACCCATTGAGGAATAGCCCATTATCAGGAACATCTTCAACTAGCCACGTTTCCGAAAGACAAAGAATGTCTATTGTAGTCTGGGAGAAGAGAGGGTTCGCAAAAGTTGTTCGGCGCTGATAATCTTAAATACATCGAACATTGTATGATAAGATATTAAGAAATGGCGGAGGCGTTGCTAGTCGTTGAGTTCTTAGTCAATAAGCAGTAGCAGTCCATCTTCCGTTTTCGTATGATTGTAGTACAAAGTCTCTGATTCGCAAATTTTTTGAACTTTCACCTTCAATGATTCGTTCCCTTCGCAGCAGTTATGCTTTATTTTCTTTTTCTTGTTCTTCTTTTGAGACGTCTCTAGTTAAGAAAACCATCGCGTTATTTCCTGACTTCATCACATTGTCGCTTTCATACCCTGGGAGAGTGCTATGCCTAGATTCTAATATGAGCCTTTTCTCAATACCATTGCCGATAGTTACTAAGAGTGGCTTGGTTGTTTTCGATTTGCATCGTACAATCCCAGTCTCCATAAATCCTTGATTTCAGCTTCGACTACCAAATGTTTTATTATGTTAATCATCTCGACCAGTTCGCACTTTACTTTGTCTTAGTTAAGTTCTTTGATACCTCGGACTCTGATTGTAGAAGGAACGGAAGTAGGAGCACGTAAATTGATAGGTTCTTCATTTTTTCTTAAATAAGTTTCTTCACACCTGTGAGGTTTTCGCCACTTGCTTCCATTTTTTCTTCGAGACATTTAAGAATGGTTTCTACCACATTCGCAAATGTTCTTTGTTCATCATGAGCTTTGACTTGCTCTAATTGGCTTAATGTGTTGCTGGCAGCGGATACAATTCGGTCTCCATGCCCATTTTTAGTGCATTGCGTGCATATGAGAATAACATTATTTCTGACATTTTGTAATTCGCGCAGAAGAATTTCGGAGAAGCCAGCACACTGCTTTGACCAATGCATTTCACTCGAGTACACTACACAATAGAAGATTTTTTCATTTGTTGTTGGTGCCTTGCATGTTTTGCATGCATGCTGTCTCCCAGAGACACTGGTCATAGCCGAAGAGAACTTGATGGATAGCCTGTGGTAGACGCAAACGTCCAAACTGCCACAGGTAAATTTGTTTTGCTTGGCTAACAACGCTAGATGCAATTCACCGCAAGAAATTGGTCGTACAGATTGATGGTCGCTTTCCTTTCACGTTATTCGCACATACACGCATAATGTGATTCGATCCTCGATGTGGTCGCACAACACGCGCACGAATGACGGTACAGCAAATCGGCCGCCAGCGATTGAGTAGATGAAGAGAGTGTCAATTACCACTCCTCGAATCGATTATGTTATCTGGAATTATTTAATAAGTTTATACTGGTCATTGAAACGCTCTGAAAGAACTTCCACATTCTTTACGATACAATGCAAACATAACTAGTATAAGAAAAAGTTCATTAAAAACATCCCACCCTGCCCAGGTTCGAACCCTCTTATTTTGCGTGTCTCCTTCCCTACATCTACGCTACAGATCCATGATACCTTGAAGCTACAAGACTAAGTTTTTTGATAACATTGACTTTATTTGAGAAAACGGGATCAAAAGGTTAAGTTTTTATTCCGCTGGTACATTCTGAAAAATCTACTTATGAAATTCCAAGTCATTCAAGTTTTTCGTGACCTTTACAGTCTTGCTGTTCGTTAGAGAAGTTCATCTTCATTTTATTTAAGAAAATGAACTGAACTGAAAAAGAAGTCAAGTCAAACATTGAGAACTCAGGTTTGAGCGTGGACAAATTTTAAGATTTTTTCCTGAAAAAATCATCAGAACCCTAACTGCGTTAGTTGAATCTTAATCATCAGGGCCTATATAAGTGTCTTCACTTCTACGTTCATTGACCTTTATAAACCAACACTCCATTTCTTTAACATTTACAGAAAAAAGTTTTTTCTGGAAGTCTTTCTTCCAGATTCCAAAAAACTTACTATCGCAGTTGTAATTATAGGAGCTAACCTCCATTCGTTGGTTGAAACTTAATCCATGAACATAGGAATGCTTTAAAATTCATAAAGCTTCTAAATGCGATCTGCTAGGCCTAAGAGTTGAACTTGTAGAGAACATTGCACTAACAATGAGAAGTTGTCGGGCTGCTACCACACTTTCGATGTTTCCCTGAATGTAAACAGTGCCTCTCTTGGCAGGCGGCAGACTGGCACAGTGCTGGGGATCTGGAAGACTGACCAGACAGTTGGTTTTGTTGATAATCCTCTGAACGTTGAACCTATCTCTTCCAAACACAAACGCCTGGTGCTGCGGACTCACATCTATCGTCGTCTGCACTGACAGGGGCACCTGGAAATCAAATCGGAAACCATGTTGACCTGGAATTATTATACGTACACATTTACCACAACCAATTTAACTAAGTTGAGGAGCATTTGTTACTTCAAAAACTAACGTTTAGCCAAAATGTCTGTCATGAACATCATGATATTCACACCCCATATCATTCAGACCAACCGTGTAGTTTTGTGTCAAATAGTCCATAAGCTCTTGGGTTCCCGTCTTAACTTTCTCAGCATTGCTGACGGCACCTTTGGCAGTAAAAACGATAGTGGGTACATCTTCCCCCAGTCCCAGGGCATTTCTTGCTTCTGCTCCCGCGTTGAACGGGCTGCCCCACCCGGCTGCTCCTGGACCACTCGGGGCCTTGTCCACAGATATGTTGATTTCATACTTTTGGCCTATCTTTTGTAGCACTGGATTGGACAAGTCTGGAGCTCCTGCCAGAACTGAGCCAGGCGCACCCGATCGTGAATATTTTCGATCTATGTGTGGGTTGATGTCTGAGACTGTCCCAATAACTGCACCAGAGTCTGCAGCTGTAGATGCGAGCACTGTACACACTGGCAACTCAAACGAAAGCTCCAACTGTTGTACACCCTGGAAAAAACATACAACCAATTTTGTGATCAAATGACTCAACCCTGACTGAAGCAGATAAAAGATGTTTGATTATTGTTATGAGGATCTTAAAGCGCTATCATCTGCATGCACCTTCTGTGAACTCACACCTAACAGACCGTTCAAAAATATCGATAAAATCCACGCGACTCGAATACGCGATAAGCCACTTTGTGCATAAAAACTTGGTACAGCAATGAACTTGGACTCAATTTATTCAGCTTTTTCAAAACTTAATTATTACCATCTACTCAAACGACAGACGAATTTTGCAGTCATTCTCGTGGATAATAACCAAAGTGAAAACCTCTCGTGTCTCACCCGCAGTGTCTTTCTGGCAACCTCCACATTGTGCATGGGGTATCCGGCGATGCTCACTTGGTTGCTCTTCTCTTCAGTGTTAGTCCTGTTTGAGTCCGGGAAGTGGATGTGACAGCTGGTCCTCTGCATCACCTCCTTGATACTGTTGCCTCCCTTGCCAATGATGTGGGAGTGCTCAGTGTGTCCGATGTCCACCTTCAGAGTCACTCTCCCGCCCACTCCCCCTCCCCCACCTCCGTTCCTGTCAAGACCCCCACCCGAAGAGATCATGCTCTAAAATATTCAACCCATCTTATTTATTTGAAATGCTAGGTTTGGACAACTAAGTTCTTTCTCAATAAACCACTAGAGTTGTTTCCTTTCCAACCAAATTTAACTCTCACTCAATTTATATGTGTAAATTTAACTTTTTACCTGCTGACGAATGAACTTCATACGCTTGCTTTTGAGTTAAACAGGACAGAAATAAATCAACGCAAATTTTATTTTAAAAAAAGAAAAGTGCCAACAAACTTAGTTAACGGTCTTGGCCAAAATCCCACATTTGCGGTTAAAGATTAGTTTAGAGAAGGTTGGCGGGAGATTGATCCTCTATTTATGATCATTCTTTTAGACCCTTGGTCCATGCGCCCTATACCCGTTGCAGGAATGATTGGATTAAATTGAGTAGAACCCAATGCAAAACATTAAATTGCAATTCTTGACTTGCACATAGTTCAGTAAGAGACGCCTAATCCAGTTTGGGAGCCAGGCCAATAAACAGTGACAGACAAACCGCAACCAGAACAGAAGATCCAACTTGAACTATTTACCTACCCGCTCAGCCATGTTTCACGCAATAAAAGTGTCTGTCGACGACTATGACTAAGTCGCTCATTTTCAGGATATCCAATCATATCCTTCGAATAACTAATTTTAAAATTCAAACATTAAGCCAGAAATTAGCCTAACTTGGCAGAAGGACGGAGTGACAGTTTCACTGTATCTGAACACCATTTTTAAGAACCCCCAAAAGATGGCAGATTTGCCAATAATTTGAAACACAATAACTTTAACACAATGTAAAGAGAAGTGCCAATGAAAAATTGAAGAAACCAAAAAAGACTTTTAGCTTTGAATCATTTTCAACAAACAATATGGCCTTCAAAATCTTTGATTTTCAAGCAGGAGCGGAACTAGGATTTTCTCGATTTTCAAAAACATGTCGACAATTTTGCCGGCCTTGATTTAAAGCCGACCAAACTGACTTTCCTAGCGGTCCCAGAACACTATAAAGACCCTATTCTTAAACGGCGCAGGCAAATTTCTGAAACAGGTCAAAATTACTGTTTTGGGCACTTTGTGGAAAATTATGAGAAAAAAATAGAGTTAAATAGCGAAAAAATCACGATCTAAATAAGCTTCATCACTTCTTTCATAGACACTTAATCAACACTTCAATAGGCAAATGTAAGTTGGTATCAGCTGGAGCAAATCTCTCCAAAATGTACCTTTAGACCCATTTCTTTTGATGATTTGGTCAGTTAGGTTATCTTTTAAGTTTTGGTTTAAGTTTAAAAACTCAAAAGGAGTGACCTGACACACGTCAAAAAATCATGCCCTATTCAGTTTACTATTCCAGCTTACCTTTGGTGAAATGATCGAGGATATGCTCTTTTCTGCCCTCTGAACAGCTGCAGTCTTGCCCGATATCTTCAGAAAGGGATCTTAAGCAAAGATACAAACTTTAGTACTACATTTTGAAAACTTAGTTTTAAGCAAAAAGGGGAGACGATAACAGCTTCGGAACGTTGTTTTTGGCACCACCTTACAACAAATAGCGTTTTGGAGACATAGATAGAACAATGAAAACTTACGGTAACGCACGGTCTCAATCTAAATACAGTTGCAATGAAAATTTGCGAAGAATATCATGGGATGTTTCAACTTTTTTACACAGAGGTGAAGTGGAGTTTCTCATTAGTAGCGATACAAAAAATACATGACAATGTGTTGAGGCGTAGAAAAGGACTTAAAAAACCCATATATTTATTTACATTTATCAAAAACTTCATAGTATTCTTCGTTGCGTAGGCAAGAAACAATTAGGCAATATATTCTAACACACTTGCGATTCAGAAAATCTCATTCGACAAACTCATAGCAGGCAAAGGAGTCATTTATGAAAAACAGAAAGAGGGCTTTTTAAATTTTACGCAATTAGAAAAAGCATGACTCGAACTATTAGACTATGGCGAAAAAATTTAAAGACTAGGCTTCAGTTGTTTTTTTTTTCGGGTGCCTGAGAGAAAAACCAAAATAAAAACAACTACAGGTTTTTTCCAAAAAAAATCAGCAACAGTTCTTGTAAATCAATTACCTGCACCATTACAGAAATGCACAAAATTTTCAAATGTGAAAAAAAATGCTTAAATCACAAGAGAAGTCCGCTATGTGGTAACTACGCCGACAAATGATTGGCCGACAAGTCTTTTTTCAGGCGGGAGATCGAATCGCAAAAGCAAAAAGTCTTCGCCAGATCCGAACCCTAAAACTTTTTTGTACCAGGCATGGCCGTTAGCTCTGGCAAATGTTCAGAATAAGACATTACAATTGAACTTATTATAAAACATAGCCAACTGACTTAAATTCGAATTTTGAAAAGAAAAACATTTGAAGTTAAAGCTCTTTGAATTTCAAGAACAACTTATGTTTGGTGCTTTTTTGTTAAAGTTAACCCAATTTGAGAAAACTGGATCAATAGGTAAAACTTTTATTTCGGTGGGAAATCTGATAACTTCCATTTTCGAAATTAGAAGTCGATCACGTTTTTCGTGACCTTTATAATTTTGCTGTTCGATAGTGGAGTTTCCCTTCCTTTTAACAAATAAGAATGAACTGATCCTAAAAAAAATCACTTTTTCAAACCGCGAAAAATCAAAATTGAGCGTGAAAAAAAAACACCAAGGCCTATACAAAAGAACTATATAAGAGCACTACGTTCATTACCCTTAATCAAGCTATGAAATAATTAAGTGATTCTGTTAAAAACTTGTTTAAATGAAAAAAGTCCAGTTTCCGATTTAATCACGCTTAAGTGTAAATATTTCCTGCAAAATTTTTACCTTTCTTCAATCGTTGTCCTGAACAGATTACTGACAATCCTCCAAAATTCACTTGCTGCTTTTGCGCAACCTGAAATTTTCAACTTTGACTTCATGAAAGAATCAACATATCCAGGTATTATGAAAAATTATACTTACAGTTAGTAAGAAATCTCCACAGTCAATTCCAAACTCTAAACAAATACCTTACAATTAATTCATTTCTCGACTTCAACTCCCATGTTTATTGTTTTTAAAAAGCAAAAGCAAAAATGTAGTGGGTGATGAAGAAATGGTGTATGCCTCTACCTCTCAGAAAAAGGTCGGTAGCCAAGTGAAAAAGTGAGGCAATATTTCTTAACCCACGAAAATAACCAAAATAAATAGACTAGTTCGTAATAAGGGGCACAAGAGCCCCTCGCCGCAATGAGCTCTTCAGATCATGACCTGTTGCAGTCCCTGGTACATAAGACATTTCAATGAACAAGGGTCACAGTTTCATAAATTAGGTGATACACAGAGGAAGAGTGGAGCTTCGCAACATTTGCGATACATTGTAAACATAGCCGACAGAAACTAAGACGGAACCCAAAGATCAAAAAGTTTTCTGTGAACCAAAATGTCGAAAAAAAACATTCTTCTATACATTCTTACACTCGCGATTAGCAAGCCTTTTCAAATAGGAACACTGACTGTTTTCGACCATGACTTGTTTTTTTATTATAAAAAGGGGAAATAATCTGTTTAGAAGAAAAAATTGTTGGCCTTCTTTTTGTCTGCCTACATTTTCTCGGCTTAGTTAACAAACACATCACGCACTTTTTCTGTGCTGTGAGTATTTTTTCTAAAAGAAAGTGTTGCTTTTATCATTCCTGAGATTTGTAAATTTACTTAATCTGATTTTTTCGCTCTTTTTTTGCTTAAGTTTTTTTGATATCAATTGGTTTGGCTCATCTTTTATCTTTTATTCGCTTAATGATCTTATCTTGCGTCCTTTGTAATAAAAAAATAGATTTTTATCCTTTGGTGTTTCCGGATCGGGGTGTTAAAGTTTTGTGTGTCAGAAAGAATTTTCATTACAACTTCGTTCTCGGCTCAATGGAAGATTACCTTAAATGCCGCTCGCTAAAGGTTTTTAAATACTTAATTCACGCCAGCGATCGTGTTTCTGGTCGTTTTTTTTTTCAAACGGAATATTCCAGACAAATTTTAGCTCTGGTTTTTTTGAAATTTAATATATATTTTTTCGACTTTCTTTTCATTTTGTGTGCAAGCTTGCAATGCTGTATGTGTATTATTACAAATGTTACGATATTCCGCTTGGCCTCTGTGTTAAACGTTTATCTCGAGTGACGTTCAGTTTCAGGGAAGTATGTCCTGGCACAGAGGAGCTTCAGAACACTTGCGATGCATCAAAAACATTGCATTACAAGATGTTGATAAAGCAGGGGAAGCCATTTTTTTTTGAAAAAAGTCTATTCGAAAAACTATATCTACAGAAATTTCATATCTTTGACTAGAATGATGTTCATAAACAGCCTTAAATAACATGGAGAATCAATGAACGAGCATCAGCTACGGCGAAAAATTTGTGTCGACCCTCATTGAGCCGAAAACAAAACTGCAGCCATAAAAAGTCGTTAAAAAACTGTACTCTATAAAATTGTTAAAATCAAAATTCTATACATCCATCATTCCGGAAAAAATCAAAAGCAATCAAAAATTCGCCATTAAAACTACGCATCGTAAGTTGACTAGAACGAAACTAGGGGCAGAGCTAAAGCTGGAGGTACCTATTTGATATTTTTAGAATGTTTTACTGATGCCCGATGAAATTCATTATTTTCAAAGCTTTGTTGTTTCTTAAGCAAAATAAGAAATTAGCCGCTAGCGTAGGCTAGATAACCATTACCGTTGTTACACATGAAATCACAAGGAAACTGGGCATGATAGTAGAATTTCCTCGCAACCTGTTGTTTTGATGGAGCTCCTGACGGCAAGCCACTTAATCCGAAAAGATATCCATAACTTGTCTTTTCAATGGAACTCTAGGCCGAGGGAAAATTTAGGCAAAAATTTGAAAACAGCGAAATCTTCAGAATCTAGATGTTTCCAAGGACATAACATGCTTTCTTAGACAAAATAAGGAATCAAAGATCCTGTGAGAAAAGTTTTTCACAACCACATTATTTGATTTAGTCCTTAATCTCATATTTGGAATGTTAATTTTTAAGAGTCAAGAAGGTTCTAAACAAAACGGTCAAAAAAACAGTTTTGAATTTTACGAGTGTTATAGCTTTTTTCCGAAAAAAAATAATGCGTACCGGATTATGCGACAAAGGTGCCCTCAATCTATTTTTTCGATTGAACGATTAAACTGAGAATTGGCAAGGTAGTTTTTGTTTGGACAAAAGACAAAAGGTCAAAAGTTCGAGTAATTGATTTTTCTGAAGTCTATCACTTTTTTCTGAAAAATAATTGGGGTTATCCACTTATGCAATGGGAGCCTCCCATATCCAATTTTTAGTTTGAAACCAAAATCTGAGTTTGCAAGGGTAGTTTTAAAAAGAAAATGGTCAAAAAATCAAAAATTTGAGTTTTCCGAGTGCCATCATTTCTTGTGCAAATAAATTTAGGCAAAATCGCACAAACAGGGACTTTTCGAAAACATGTTCTTAATATTACAACCAAAAACTCTGATTTGAAAGAGCAGTTTTCGAGATAGGTAAAAGTTTCAAAAGACTGTCAAAAAATCAAAAAATTGAGAGCCATAAAATTTGGAGGAAAAAATGGTCGTAGCCGCTCATCCAGGGGAGCTTCATACAACTCGTGCTTTTGATTGAAATAAATTTCTCAGACTTGGGCAGTTAGTTATCGAGAAAATGGCTGTAGAAAACGGGAGAAAAAAGAAAATGACTACCTGATTATGCAGGCAAACAGGAGAGTAGGCGATCTTTTATACTGAAAGCCCTTTTTCGAAAGTTTGCCAGTTAGTTTTTGAGAAAAACCAAATTTTAAAGAAAAACAAAAAAATTTCTAAATCGTCCAAAAAAATTTAAAATCAAATCCCATAAATTTTTATTATACCTGTTTTTATCAAACAGAAAGTGCTCGACTCACACATTAAACATATCCAACAGAAAGTTGGGAAAGAGTCAAGAACGAAATTAAAAAGAAAAAAGAACTTGTTTGATGAAAAAACATCAACTTTCAAATTTCTAAAAAAAAATTAGATACCCTCGAAGCTCTTTGAACTTCTAGAACAATTACTGATTGGCACTTTTTCGTTAACATTAACCCAATTTGAGAAGCTTGAATCAATCAGTAAATTATTTAATTAGCAGGGAAATCTGGAAATTAAATTCCAATTTCGAAACCAAAAGCCGATAACGTTTTTCATGACCTTTTAACTTTCGCCTTCCTTTTAAAGAAAATGAACTGAACTCAAAAAAAAATCAAAGCCAAATCAACAAAAAATATTGCCTCAAATTTTTCTGATCAAAAAAATTATAAAATCATCGCGACCTATATAAGGGTCTGAAACAGTAAAGCCAAGGACAATCTTTGAGCAGAAACCAGTTGAGCCAAAAAAAAGGATTTAAAAAAACTTTCAAGTCGCCCTGAAACTACAATGTTTCAAGTCGCCCTGAAACTACTATGAAAAGCGTTGCATCCGCCATGATACTTGCTTACAGCGCAAGAAAAATCAGTGATGTGGCACCTAAGCTGCCAAATTTTGAGTAGACAAATGAAAGTCCTACAACTTGATTTTTACCGGAAAAAAAAACTTTTCAATTTGATACATACTGAAAAAACAAAGTCCTGTCGGGACTCAAACTCCAGACCTCAAGGTGCAAAAGTGGCCGCGTTATCTTCAGGCCAAGTGGGAAGGAACATGAAAGTTGTTAAGGTTCAAAATTTAGCAAGTGCAATTTCTTGTAAGAAAAAATTGTTTACAGAAAAAAGTCAAGTTCCCAAGTTTAGTTCTGAAAAAAGTCTTGAGTACAAGTCACTTGCTCTTGTGAGTAAAATGAAGCAACATGAGGCGACTTAGCCAAAAAAAGACAAGCTATTTGAGCCGAGTACTTTTAAACGAATAAAAATTTCAAAGTAATTATGCAAAATCGAAGCTGGTGAATCTATCAAAATATAACACAACGACTAACAATTTTATTGAAAAGAACTTATACTTATACTCAGTAGCTGATTTAGGATGGGGCGGATACCCCCCCCCCCCCCTTCAGGGATTGGACCCCCAGTCGACTCAAAGGTTCATCCTTTGTACTACTTTGAGATATCCATTTTGGCTGACGGACCTTAAATTTGTTTTTAAGGCGCCTTTGGCGCAAATAATTACTATACATGAGTGGGGAACGCGCGCAAAAAAACGCATTTTTTGGTCAAAAGATCCCAACGCCAAGTGCCTAAAACGCGTTTTTTGACCAGTTTTTTTTTTTCAATATTTTGCCTGCGCTGCAGATAATTTCGCCAAAACAGGGTAAATTTGCTGCTTTGGGAGAGCTCGGAATATCAATTTAGTCAACCTAAAAAATAATTCGTCAGCCTAGAACATTTTTTATTAATCCGCTCCCTCTAGATTAGTTCTTGCTTATTCTAGAAATAAAGGCCATGCTGTGGAAAACAAGACCCAAAAAATAAGCTAACAAACCAAACCAAAGATCGAAAGTATATTTTTTTTCAAAATTAAATATCGACAGAGAGGCGAAGCTGTGCTTTGCAAACACTAGCGAGGGCACGATAAAAAGCAGTTCTATAAAGTGCCAAAAGAAAAAGTAAAAAAGCCTCAAATTAGCGATAACTCGGCCACGTCTCGGATTATAACTGGGACCTAGAGATTATGAGTATCACGCACTAACAACTCAGCCACGTACTTAATAAACCAGAGTAATAATAATCCACAAATAAAGCAGAGAATAGATGCTTTGAAATTTCCATTGCTACAGATCGTGATTATAGCAAAAGTTCCACCAAATAAGTGATCACTTTCTTTAATGAACGCTTTTATTTGCGAGTTAGGTTAGAAAAAAAGAAGGTTCGTACTAATATACTTCGCTCGCGAGTTTAAATACGAACTCGAAAGAGCACTGCAACATCAAGAGCCCGCTGTAATGTCAACAAGTTTAAGTTTGAATTTCCATAACTTTAGCATATCAACACTTTTTAATATACAGTCCATGCCATCAATGATTTAAGGATTCTGTTCGACAAGTTTTTAATTTGTAAAAAAGTCTACGCTCCGATTTGATAACGCTTGCCAATCACAAGGGTAATCAGCGTTCATATAAGATGCAAAGGGATTACCTTGACTCATAACTCTTTAATTTGAATTAAAAACAAATTAATTTAAATATCCCGAAATATACAAACCATTGAAGAATGATTCGATTTTTCGTCTGTCCAGCTTAACTCTCAGCTCACAGAAATCCATATCTCTATCGGAACCTTCAAAATCACACTCCCCCTCATCACCATCCTCATCTTCGCATGTCTCAAAGCTATTCCAAGTGTTCTGTCGACTTAATGCAGCTTTTTTCCTTCTGGGACCCCGGATACGGTTTCGTTGAGATCCACCGACACCCTCATTTCCTTCGCCTACCTCCGTGTAAGGTTGTTCAGATCGAGATATTGGTCCAGCGGCAGCATCACTTCTCTCCATATCTGGCACTAAGCGAGCCTCTTTCAAAGACTGATTGTCCATAGCAGACAGTTTATAAAATAATCACAAATTACAGGTGGTACAAATTGGCAACTCAAATTGTATTTCAATAAATTAAGTAGAATACAAATTATACTGATGGACGTAATAAAGTCCAAGTCTAACAACTACAACTTCTGTACAATAGTCGCGTCTTGTATAGTTTATGTACAATTCTGATCGGTTAAAAATGAGCAATCAGCCAGCTTCAGATTAAAATTGGTAACTGTGTATAAAAATAGAATCAAGCTTAGCATAAAATAAGGCACAAGTGGCATGAAATGATAAAATTAAGGTGAAGTTGTCTTCGAGTAGTTAGGAATCACAAACACATTAGTCTGAAAAAGTACGAAATAAAGTATCATAATTTTAAAAATACACTTATTCTTGTCGTGTACTGCATCACCTTGATGCACCGATTGATTCTGGAATAAAGTTTTTTGTTAACTTTTCCAATCATACTTGTAATCAGAGGCGATACCTCACCGCCTTCAGCTTCCCCCTTTAGTGAAATTTCACATCCATTTTAAACCCATCGATCTTAAAACTTTCCTTAACGCGCGCCAATATTTATTAATTTTGATAGGGAACAGCGAAAAGGATGATTAGAGATCATGAAAAAAAGCCCAAAAACGTCATTTATTCCGTTTTCTCCAAAATTCACTTGCGGCGACAAATATTTGACAAAATGGGGTCGTTACAGTTTTAAGAGGACCGAGAAAATTAATTCGATAAAAAGGCCAAAACATTCAATTTATTTGAAAACACTTTCCATTCACCCTTGAGAAAATCCTAGATACACCCCTGTTCTTAGTAACTCTTACAGCTGAATTCTCTACTTACTCAATCCCGCCCAAAAAAAAAACTTATTTCAAATATATACTTTAAATTGGGTTTGAAATATATCATCTATTTATATTTTCAAATCAGATGCAATTCGATTGATCCGACTAAATTGAATCTGGTAAAAAATAAACATTAAGAGTCCAAGCTGCTGCAGTTCGAAACTGCGGAATTGGCTGATATTGGAACCTGCAAAAATAGAGATTCTGTGGAATAAGCGACAAGGCTGTCCTTCTTTTTGATTTCTTTTCTAGCGTGCAATCCAACAACAAATGGTTGAACAAAGTGCAACTCTTGGAGCAGCAAAAAATGAACATAAAAATAATAACATAAATAATAAAACATGTTCGCATTGATATCACACCAACTTGTCGCTGAACCCGCATTTTGTTTACAAGTTCCGCATTTAGTTCGGAAACAAATAACGTATATTTCCGTTTTTAAACGCGTTTTTTTGGTGGAGATTTATCGTGGAATCCTATTTTCGCAAATTAACAACTGATTCAAGTTTCGTTATGGATTCCTTAGATTTCTCGAAAACCCTCTTTGTTCAGGAGGCTGGTGGAGCGATGGTTCAATGGAATATAGCGAGCAACTCAATATCAAGAACCAAAAGAACCAGTTAAAAAACCAAAAGCGAATAGTTAAGCTTTCACATGTCTGCGGTTTTCGAATTTTGGAGATTCAGTTTATTAAAATGATTCAGTTTACTGGTTACAATTACACGATATAACGCATAAAAATTTTGTCTCATTTAGGAGAGGGAGCAAACACATACATGGAAGGTAGGGGTGTCATATCTCAATTTATTTATGTGAGGTCCCTGAAGGTTTCTCTGAGTATTACTGAGTTTGTTATTTAGTCACTTTCCAAATGACGAGGAAAGTTCTATGCCCGAGAGATATATCGGATGTCGTTCAGTTCGCAGGGCGGTATTCCTCTTGAAAGCTCAAAGGACAGAGAAAGAAGTTTAGGCAGAGCTTTAAATTTCGAGTCAAGCTGGTCACTCTCGCGGATATCTCTCGAGTGATTTTACAAAGTTTATAAACCAAATGTTTATGTTATTATTTACACTCATCATAACAAAGTTATCAGCAAAGGTTGGCCAGTCTGTTTTTCATCGCCAAGCCTTTTTCGGAGTTTATGATTTGAGTTCAAATGTTTACTTCCTGTTTCTTCGTAAGGATGTTTGCTTGTCCCTTCGTTCACATCTTCTTGTTGTCTCACAGAAAATATAGTTCGTGGTAGTAAATATTACACAAAAGGGCCTTGAAGTAATTTGGTAGGGTCAAATAATGAATCGCACCCATAAATAGAATTTAGGGATGTGACACTACCATCCTTGAAAAAGTTGCTATGGGTTCGGAAACTTTCTGCGCTCTGCTTTTTGTAGAAAATACATGGGTACAGTTTTGATGTCCTCTTGTTCCACACATAGTCCGTTGGTCAGATTATATATGTTTACAAATATACGGCACATGGATAAATGCATTTTATCAAGAATGTGTTAAAAGTTGTGGTAATAATTTTCCTTAAAGTGATGCAATTCTTTAAAGTGGTACTTTTAAGGTTACCGAGAAGTGTTACCTAGTGTTCTTTCAGTGGTACTACGTTTTCATGCATTGAATGAAGTCCTGGTTGTGACTTAGAAACATCTCGGTTGATGCATGATTTTTGCGAGGTAAAAGCGTGAGCTCTCACGTTATTGAGTTCCATTGTCATCTCCAACTTTATTGTTGGCGTGATCTTTCACGTCATTCAGTGCTTCTTGAAATGGAGCTGTGGATTCACATGTGTCGGCATTTGATTCTTGTGTTGGTGGAGGTGTCAAGAGTAGCGTGGGGTCACTACTCTCCTTTTTACATTTGTGGTAGATCCACATGAAAAGTGCATGGAGAACCATCGAGCCTATGAAGGAAATTATAGTCATTATCAATGAACTTTTACATGTCAGCCGATCATCAAATACTCTTGCTAGTGAAGGTTGAAGTTTTCTCATGTTCCGCGCTAGCTGCTTTGCTATTTTCTTCATCTGTTCTTGATTTTGAACATTTGGGATTTGAGTCGTAATATGGCATGTCCTCCAATTCTGGCAATTCGCTTAGCAAGTTTGAGATCGGGTCCGGCAATTGGACGTTGAACTTCGGGTCCGGCGATTGCTGGGAGCTGTTCGCATGTTGCTAAATCAGATCGAAGTTTTATATTAGGCCCTACTAACTGTTTTCCACATTCCAGTGTTACAATGCAGATATGGCATCCCGGGAACTTGTCTATTCCGCTGGCGGTTGTTGATTCTATATCAGACTCGAAGAGGGTGTATGCAGACGTTGCTGATGTGATCAACCATACCCCAAATCCTAGATTTTCAGCCTTTTCAGTGGATGGTAACTGGATCTGTTCGGTGTCGCATACTTTCAGTGTGTCCAGATTCCGTTTGAAGAAAAGAGTTGCCAGGCATGATCCGTGTCCTGTCTCAGTAGGGATCATTTCGTCGCAAATCTGATATCTTGAAGATTCAAGGCAGTGTTTCAGGTTGTACTCTGTTAACACTGCAGTTTCCATATTATCCTCCGATATTGCCAAGTAGGGAGCTTCCGTTTTCCACATAATGGCTTTATCCTTCTCATACTGTGGCATCGGGACTGAAACTGCGTGGAAGACCGTAAATGAATTTTGCCGTGACGCTAGTGCAACGGCAATCTTCATTAGCAAGACTTCTTTGATAGTGACCACGTCGGTAAGAAGCTGGGCTTCATAGTAGGATAGAATTTCGTCCATCGGAATGGCTAGTGAACGTCGATCACGCGCATGGCTTTGCATTTAGGCAACTTCTTCTAGAACTTTAATTAATGAGTCCCGTGGGACTAACGACATTGGCAGAAATTTATTCAGCAAAGACGGTATCGAGTTAAGCATGTTGATGCGATAGGAGTAGAGAGCTGATCGGTACGATTTCACATTTGCAAAAGTAATCGCAAGCAGCGAGGAGACCGTATCATAATTGAAGTTAATCTGCTGTCTTGTGAACAAAAGGTGATCACAGTCCCGTAGAATGTGAATGTTTTGCATAAAAACTTCAAAGTGCTCTCGAATAACTTCCCAATTTAAATTTGGATTTGTATCATTTCGTCTTGTGCCTGTTTTATCGAATGTAATTCACTCGTTACCATGAAGAATTTTGCATCTAGATTTTCTGCAAGCGTATAGATTTTTTCAGCTATTTGGCTGACGAAGTCAGAGAGTCTGACAATGTTTTCAGCATTTTCTTTAGACTTATCATTGCAGGATCCAAAAATTCCTCGTAGTCCACAATCTGCTGTTTTTCCTAGTCGAATTCCACCTCCGAAAAGTCCAACTGATGCTAGGGCTGCAATCGCTAAGGCGGGTGCTCGTTTTTCCCTCAGATTGGATGTTTGTTGTTTTTCATGGAGAAATGAGGCTGTATATTTGCGTAGGGACGTAAATTCCTGTTTTGCTGAAGAACCTCGTTTTTCACTGGGTGAAGTAGCCAGTCGACATCAAAGGTTGAATCGTTTTTAGTGAAATTGGACGAAAAGTCCAAATGGCAAAATAAGCTGGGTTGCTTCCACATTTCAGCTAGTTGTTTCAAGAAGTCGTCAAGTTCATCTTGGATATTTAGTTCAAATTTTGGGAAAGGGACTAGAAATTCAATCGGAATGAATTTTTCTGCTAATAGAATTTTCGATTCGTAGTTGAAGATTATCCCGTTTTCTAGAACTGTCTCCGATTGTTCTCCTAGGTAGTTTTCAGAATTCCATTGAGCTGAGGTTGTACTGAGTGCAAGGACTGCTAAATAATGTTTTATTATTTTTTAAAGCTCTAAATGTATCTTAATTTTTCAGACTGTTGAAAAATGATATTTGCGTTGATTCCTTTGTTTTCTCTTGTCTGCTGTAATTTTGCTTGTGAGGAAGTGTATTTGAAAGACCAAGACATCTCTGTTTTTTGCTATGAGAAGAGAATGTGCGCGAAAGAAGGGAGACCTTGTATAACTGATTGGATGGGGGTATGTGGAGATTGGAAAGAAAAAGTGGAAGATGATGTTAGAGAAGACGAGAGCATGAACTTGAGCTTTGTGTTGTTGCCATTATGTGTGCTGTTTTTGTTTTGGGTGTTTGTTTGGATTTAGTTGTTGTCTTAGACGTTGTTTTAGTTAATTTAACTGTTTTCAAATTGATCTAAAACTGTTAGTTACATTTACATAGAAATTTGCTTTGTAATCTGTGTTAATGCGAAAGTAAATTTGCAATTGGCCTTTTATACCGAATATAGAAAGTACACTGTGCACAACAGTGTTCAGGTGTCGTATTTGATGTATACTAATTGCATGTGTTTCCTTTTCAGATTCTGTTTTTGATATTTGCTAAGTGCAATAATATCGCGCAATGTCCTTTTTAAACTCAATCCCTGAGCTGACTGAAGAATGTATTCGTGAAAAAGGATGGAAACCACTCCAAACAATTAGCGGGAAAGGTTACAGGACATGAAAAGAACTAAATGAGAAAGCCAAAAGTGATGGATTGGTAGATTGTGTCGACTGGAAAAACTGACTGGTTTAAGAAACCGATAGAAATAATCAACCAGGAAGTGTTCAATGTGAAAACCCGTTATCATTTTAACTGAAAGCGTGCCAAGACGTAAACGAATTGAACTCGACACTAATGAGGCACCATATGACAAACAGGGAGTTCCGAGAAATACAATCGGAGGATTTTGAAAAATCCCTATCGTGGTCTTTTTCTGTTGAAAGAGTTTCTGAGATGGTCATTCCGCCCGTCTATGCTTTTAGAGTTCCGATGCGCTACTGTCACTTGAACCCTGGTTTACTGAAGCACATATTGAGACAGAAGCAGATGACTCTACATCCTGCACGCTTTTTGAAACAAAACTTGATGTTGTTGCGAATCCAGGACCTGCTTCTTATTTTCTCTACCAGAACGCAAAGAGCCTGGAAGGTTTCATTGATTTGATCGAAAGAGGTCCTAGGGAGTTTCTTTATCAAATATTTGCTATTTTTACACGACCTGGAAACTTAGTCGTGCAACCATCAGGAGCTTTTATAGCTGTCCTTACTCTCTCGTGGCCGGCTCTTGTGACCGGATTTGAGGCTAGTCGGCCTTCTGATAAATCTAGATTTGAGGAAGTAGAAAATCGGTACGCTCTGAGGATTGGAGAACCAGTTAAGGAGCTTCTATGGCAGAAGAGAACTCCGCTACGAAGAAAGTTTGCGCAGGATTTGGCGTGTGACGCTGGTGATCTTATGGTACGAGAAATAGACGCAGGATTCGAAAAACCAAAGAGAGCGTATAATTCCCGGAAGAAATGGCGCGCTATGCCCAATAACATTGCAAAAACAGAGAACTACAGGCAAAAACGAACAGGTAACTCAACCTTTTCTCTGTCAAAAATTATGGAAACAAAAACATCCTGACAATAAATTCATGTTCATATTAAGAAGAGGCCAAAGAAATTATCAGCAGGCCAAAACAGATCACTAAATAGGTGTCCATATATTCGTTGGAGGTTGCAGTGCGTGTTTATCGGGGCGCAAAGTACTGCTACGCTCAAACTCTGTTAGTATACAATTTTTTCACTTGGCATTTTCTTTGTTTTTCATTATATTGAAATCTTAAAAAACTTCTCCCTAGCGCAATTCAAAATGTATTCATCTAATTTTTTATCCTAGTCATAGCCAAAAGTCATCTCTAGGATCCAACGTTCTTAAAATTTTAAAATCCCATTCCTATCACCATGTCATATCTCATTTTATTTATGTGAGGTCTCTGAAGGTTTCTCTGAGTATTACTGAGTTTGTTATTTAGTTACTTTCCAAATGACGAGGAAAGTTCTATGCCCGAGAGATATATCGGATGTCGTTCAGTTCGCAGGGCGGTATTCCTCTTGAAAGCTCAAAGGACAGAGAAAGAAGTTTAGGCAGAGCTTTAAATTTCGAGTCAAGCTGGTCACTCTCGCGGATATCTCTCGATGGATTTTACAAAGTTTATAAACCAAGAGTGTATGTTAGTATTTACACTCATCAAATTTATTTAACAAAGTTGTCAGCAAAGGTTGGCCACTCTGTTTTTAATCGCCAAGACTTTTTCGGAGTTTATTATTTGAGTTCAAATGTTTACTTCCTGTTTCTTCGTAATGATGTTTGCTTGTTCCCTCGTTCACATCTCCTGTTTGTCTCAAAGAAAATATAGCTCGTGGTCGTAAATACCAAAAAGTGCCTTCAAGTAATTTGGTAGGGTCAAATAATGAATCACACCCATAAATGGAATTTAGGGATGTGACAAGGGGTTTTATTGATTAGCCACAAAGTCTTTATGATAGTCGAGATATTAAGGCGATAAAATGAGTTGCAATTAACTGATCAGATTTAGCTCACTTCTCAATCTTCGTGTCTGTCATATCCCGATTTCTTGCGATCACTTTTCAATGCAGGTGTGCTGGGTGCTATTATTTTATTATGCAGGAATTGTCTTTCCAAATGAAAAGAAAGTCGGCCACCCGAGAGATTTTACTCGGATTGCGTTGTTCGCAGGACTGTTATCCTCAAAAGGCTCAGAGGAGTACATCAAAAAAGTTAAGGCGAATGATTTCTTGTTAATGAGCAGGTCACATTACATTCACCATATCTATTCAGTCATTTAACAGTTTAAGCATCAAAAAGTATTTGTTGGCGTTAAAAGGGCTCATATAGATTCAATAAAATTATCAGTAAGATTGACTACGAATCTATCGATGTACCAAATGAAAGTTTTCTCTTAAAACATTTTTGTTCATCCTATCAAATGTTTTCGTTGTCTCACAGTAAAAGCCAATGATCAAAAATGAGCCAGGTAGGTAGTGTTGTCGTCATAAACGGAATTTGGGCATGTGACACTACCATCTTTGAAAAAATTGCTATGGGTTCTGCACTCTGCCATTATTTTCGTAGAAAAATTAAGGGTTACAATAAATTCCTGCAGTTCCACACACAGTCCGTTGGTCAAGATATATATGCTTAAAAATATACGGCACATGGATAAATACATTATCTTTAGAACGTGTTAAAGGTTTATTGAGAAAGTGATACTTTTCTTTAAGGTTTAAACTTACATGCTGTGGACGCTTTATTAAATAAACTTGCTTTTTTTAAGAGTTCTGTTTTCGTGCAGGAACTGAAGTCCTATAGTAGAGTTGGCTATGTCGTGGTTTTTACAATTCATTTGCATAGTGAAAACTTGGGCTCTCACATCGTTGAGTTCGAGCGCCATTTCCGCTTTGACTCGTTTTGCGTATTCTCTAATATCGTTCAAAGCGTCTTGAAATGGAGTTGAAAGTTTTCTGGATACAGCATTTGACCACTACCAGTGGAGGTGTCAGAAGTTACATAGAGTCAATGTTTTTTCTTTTTACATTTAAGCTAGACCCACGTAAACAAGGCTCGCAGTATCAATGATCCTATGAAGGAAGCTACACTCATGGTTAGTGAGTCTGTCAACATTAATTGGCCATTAAAAGCTTGTGCAACGAGGTTCAGAGCCTTTTCAATTTTCGGCCTAGTTCTTGGGCAATGGTCTCGTATTCCTCGAATAGTTATATCCCGGCATGTATTTCTGGCAACTTGCTTAGTAAATTTGAAAATGAGTCAAGTAGTTTGACATTGAATTTGACTGCTGGCAGCTTCTCACATGCAGACAAGTCTGATCTGGTTTTGATGCGTGGTCCGAGAAGTTGTCTCCCACATTTAAAAGTTATTATGCGAATATTGCATCCAGAGAATTTTACTATGCCGCTGGAAATTGTAGATGAATTGTAGAGCCCAGGGAATGAATTTTTCTGCTGGTAGAACTTTTAATTCGTAGTTGATTCCATTTTCCAAAACTGTCTCGGATTGTTTATCTGGGTTGATGTTAGAGTTCCATTGAACTGCTTCAATTAAGGTGTATGGCACTGAAGCCGGTGTTATGAGCCAGACCCCATATCCAGGGTTTTTCGCCTTTTCAGTCGCTGATACTTTTAAGTGCGTTTAGTGAAAGTCCCTCAAGGAACAGCGAGGCAAGGCATGATCCGAAACTTCGTTTTGTACATGGTGAAGAAGTCAATCGACGCCAAAAGTAGAATAAATTTTCGTAAAATACGATGAGAACTCCAAGTTGCAAAATAGACTGGTTTGCTTGCACATTTCCGCTATATTGTATAGAAATAGTTCTAACTAACTGTTGACATCAAGCTCGAAATTGGGGAAAAGGACTAGGATTCAAAGGGAATGAATTCTTCTGCTTGTAGAACTTTTAAGTCGTAGTTGATGATGATTCTATTTTCCAAAACTGTCTCGGATTGTTTATCTGGGTTGATGCTAGAGTTCCATTGAACTCTAGCCGCGTTGAGTGCAAGGAGTACTAAATAATGTTTATTTTAACGTTCTAATTGTATCTTATTTTTTCAAATTGTCTTGAAAAAATGAAAATTGCCTTGTTGTTACATGCATGTTGGCATGTAGGGAAGCTCTGTGGCGAAAAATTTGTTTTGGGAAGATGAGCATAAATGGAAAAGTTCAGCGTATTATGTTCAGCGAAAAGTTCAGCGTATTTGATGGCAGTCTGCGAGATGAATAAGGTGTCAGGAAACATTCTCGCGACCGATTCTTTCGTTTAGACTCTTCATGTCAATTTTGACAGGAAACTCAAAAAATCAAAAATAGCATTTTGTGTAGAATTTTAAGGCATATCCTCTGATTGAGAAGACATTTACAAAACCTGTTATTTCCATTGAACCTAAAAACTCAGGAGGGTAGTTTTCGAGAAAGGTCAATTAGTCTCAAATTTCACATGAGCGTTTTCTTGCTAGCTTTCAAATGTTAACACCCGAGCCGGTTCTAGCTAGCTCTTAATTTTTCACGCACAAATTGCGGAAACCAAACAAATTTCGGCTAGCTGAATATGTTTACACTATTTGCGGAAAATTTACGTTACGAACAAACAGCTTTGGAATCCGCAATCATTGTGGCCTGTGAATTCATCCGCTTTTTACATGTTCAAATGCTTGTTTCCGGATTCCGTCAACCTACACGCACAATTTAGTACTTCTAAAAATTAACAGCTTGTCCTGGTAATATAGATGATTAAAGAAAAGTTTTAAATCTGATATTGTTGATGACTGTTTTGACAGATCTCCACAAACTCAAAAAACTCTAGTCGTAACTAGAGCACCGACATTTGCATTTTTCAACTGGACAAGTAGCGTGCGAGGAGAACCAGGCTGATATGTGGCTTGCATGTCCTCCATGTGAACACGAGTTGCACCACACAAACCAGTTATGAAAACTGTTTACTTTAGTCGCACTCATCACTGCAGCTGCCGAACTAGATACGCTAGAGGTAGGTGTTTTATTCGTCAAAAAATTGTCATCTACGCTATTCGCCGCTATTGGTACAATCTTACTCGAACTTAATTTTGCTTTAGGTCGAGCGCCAGTCAACGTATTGTGAGCAGACGACGTCCCCACTATCTGAAGACAAACTGCACATCTGGGTAAGAAGTTACCGCAGTTACTGCAGCAGTGGCTTATTTTAGGCTCTGAGCCAAAATTTTGTACATGATTTGATTTGCGCATGTTGTCTTTCTTGTCCGCTCCGTTGAAAGGCACACTGCAAAAAACACATGCTGCAAGAATTTGGGAGGGCTGTGCGTCCGCATCAAAACATCTGGCAGCTTTATCAAATTTCACTCTGGTTCCATAGCAGGCCCAGCTGTCGAGCAGAGACCGATACTCTTCGATCCATTCATTAATGAGTCGCAAACAGCTGGCGTCCCACTGAATCGACTGAGACATGAAGTGGTGCGAGTAGGAATTGGCGAAGACCAGAATGAGAGCCACAGTCTGAATGTCCCCACTTCTGTCGAGATAACTCTGCAACAGGTCCAGACACCTGGGCGTCACTCCTGTCAGAAACAGACCGTCCAAGTCTCCATACTCAGTGTACAGCTTTGTCAGTTCATTCAAATACCCCGGCAGTTCCCTGTCTGGCAGAAGTTTAAGCGCAAACGCCACGTGGTCTTCCAGTCGCATTGCAGGAAGCCCTCTCTTCTTGTGTTTCACATTACTACCTCCATAAGACGGAAACGTAGTCAAATCACCACGCAAAACGTCTTTTGGGGCTTCCGGTTTGGCTAGGAACCCGAAAAGAGCTCGTAGGTAGGGGTTTTCGATAGACAGCAAACGACATTTCTCAAACCAGAGGCTTGAATTTGTGTTGTTTGAAAGACCGGAAAGAGCCAGAGAAAAGGCGGCATTTGGTATTTTGTCCAAATATGTGAGACACAACTGCGCACGAGAATGGACCCAAGCCAGTGCAGCTCCTACTTCATTATTGCCACCGTGAACTTTGTTTACATAGTTTTCCAGATTCTCTAGCTGAGCAGTATTCATCACTTTGAATTCCCAGTTACAGTAGCTCAAGCAATGCTTCCTAATAATCGTATCATAAACTATGTTATCTAACTCTCGGTCAAAAAACTTCAACTTCGTTTCTGAGTTGTCGACTGGCGTGTGCATTGACGTGTTATTTATCATATCCACAATTCCTGGAATTCCAACAACACTCTTCAACGACAGCTTCTCGTTGCTCTTCAGCAGGCTTCTCTGGCATTTCTTCAGGTGTTCCAGTTTCTCCCACAGCGCAGTGATTTCTTCATCCTCAGTAACATCAGTCGTGGGCAGACGTTCAACTACAGGCCCATAATTTTTCAGCGCCCTTCTTTGCATTTTGGAGGCAATGTCATCCTCAAAGTTCTTCATAGAGTAGATACAATTATCACTGATGGAAGACAAGCAAAAATTCACCCCAAACCCGGATGAATTTAAATGAACTGGAACGTATTTAGGTACGATATCTTTGGAGTTGCTGCTTCCGAAAATCAATTGAGATCCAGCGTTTTTCTGCCATGGTGCCCAGCAAAATGTTGACACGGTTCGATCCAGGTTCAAGTTGAACATTCTCTTCAAAGGTGAAATGAAATGGGATGCGCCTTCAGTCGCTTCTGAGTAGAAGAAATCGACTAATATTAACAGCCTCTGTCTGACTTTGAACACAATCAATTGATTACACACTGCTGGATTCCACTCGTGCAACATCTGAGAGGAGGAGGCGTCTTCTCTCTCAGGGCACAGATTAATAGAATGAACTTGCAGATTATTCTGAAACACTCGCAGGTTTCCGTCGTCTATAATTGAGAAGCGACTCCTGAAACGGTCAAACTTCATGCTAGTTCTTGTTTTGATTTCTACTGCTAGTTGTCCAGTAGTCATCGACGTTGCATCGAAGCTTTTTATAACTGACGTATTTGAAGAGGCAGTCGAAATGAAGTACAGAGTGGATTCAAATGGCCACTCAATTTGCAGAACCTCTTCGTTTGTTAGTATTTGCCTCGGTTCTTCACTAGCCGAAATATTGTTCAAATTGATTTTTTTCCAGAGAAAGATGCCTGAAAAATTCCCGAGTGAAACTCTAGCTGCCAACTCGTTATTAGATTTAGGCCTCCAACACACCTGTTGGGTAATAGTTTCTTGCGATGATTGGGTCTTGGAAATTTTAACAAGGGCATTTATCGGTGGAAGTTCACTAAGAGATACTGCAAAATTTGATATATTGATCCGCACAATTGCCGCTGCTGCTGATGATATGCTGGCGTTTTTTAACCCACATGCAAAAAGAAAGTGACTGTCGTTCAAATCACTAATTTGAGTCTCTGACCAACACCAAGAGACTGCGGAGTATTTTGCTTCCAAAGCAACGCCATGATCTGTAACTTTGCCGTCTGAGTAAACTTTGATGGTAAAACATATTGATGATGTTTCGTCACAGTTCGACAAAAACACACCTAGATAAGCAGGGAAATGAAGATTTGAGAGGAACTTCATACGATCTGAAAATGCATTAAGTTACTTGTTTGAGCCAAGTTCATGGGGGCTATTCTCATGGGCGAAAAACTCATGGGCGAATGACCGAAAACAAAAAAAAGCAAAAGTTAATTATTGAAAACAAATAATTGCTGTTCATCTAAAAGGAATTAAATGAAGCAATACTTTGCTTCTTTTACAACAAAACCCTTGAAATATAAAATTTGTTCCCATTCGCCTACGATCAGTGACAATTTGAAAGTTTTGCATATTTCTGCCGTTTTATATTCGGCCAATATTAATATTAAATCCATGGAAATGCTTACTTTCTTTCATTTTCACGTTTTCTTTCCAAATTTTAGATTACTGAAATCTGATTGGCTGATTTTTATTTTCGCGCATTCGGTCCTTCCAACATTGTTCTGAATTGAAATCAGAAACAGAATTATTAAACTTTTACCATATGTTCTGACTTGAAATCAGAAACATAATTCTTAAACTTTTGACTTGAAATTACGTGTTTGCTCGGTTGATAAAATATCACCAAAAGCAAACATTACAGCATGTGTTGGTTCTTTCTGATTGGTTTAACCAACAGATGGAATGTTGAAAATATCAAATTCTATGGTATATAAACCAAGCGAAAATATACCAAACATCACTTCATCACTTTCTCAAAATCTCAAATCTCACAACCACTCTCATACTGAGACCCCCAACCATCCTAATAACCAAAATCTCAAATCTCTATCTCGATAACTATCAATCCAGACCCCCAATGTCTCTTGATATAAAATTGATGTGTGTCCTCTATATTTGAAATAATATACCTATTTACGAGTGAAAGAAACTTTGTCTGTTGAATAAGAATAGGAAAGTCTTAGCAACATTCAGAAAGAACCCTTGTTCTAACTAGCTGCAATTTGGTCGATCGCATAAGTTGAGTCAAGTTAGTTTGGAATAATTGGTGCGACCAGTGAGGCACACAAGTTTCAAAAATTCACTCAATTTTCAAAATCTCAAAAAACTGAGATTATCAAAATTTCAATGAGTTAAAAAGTTCAAAAATTGAAATTATCAAAATTTCAAAAAGTTGAAAATTTCAAAAATTGAAATTATCAAATTTCAAAAAATTGAATTTATCAAAAATTCAAATGTTGAAATTATCAAAACTTCAAATTTTAAAACTTTCATAAAGTTGAAAATATCAAATTTCAAATTTTCAAAACTTTAAATTGGATATCTTAACTTGAAAAAAGTAAGATGGCCGATCACTCAATCACCCATCCTAACTTGTCTTTTGTATCATTCTCAGGAAATAATTCAGACCTAAACGCAAAAGCCTTTTGGACTTCAGTTGAGAATAAAATTGTATTCTCACTAGGGCAACGACCCACAGACGCTGGCGCTCAGCCTAACTATGATCACAGACAAAAAAGTTTGTTTGGATCTCTATTAACAGAAACAGCTCTTGAATGGTATACTGATGAAGTAACTAATGCTACTACTTGGGCTCAACTAAAAAATCTTTTTCTAAAAGATTCACTGATGGTAGAGATCGATTCAAGCATCGTCTTAAATTGCAAATAAAAGCCCTCCCAACGGCCGTAGAAACGTGCCAGTAAAAACAAATACGGCACAGTATAGTATATCAATTATAACTGAACAGCCGGCTTTGCTAAAACCTGTCTTATACAAACAAATTTTATCAGAATCTGATCTATATAAACCAGCAAAAATAAGCCCAGAATCATTCTTTCAAAAACTTCTCAACCTCCAAAACATCCTGATACTTCTCAGCAACTGCAAAAATCAATAAAATTCAAAAATAATGTCTAAAATCACCGATCTCGAAGAAGGTGAAATAATGGACCTTGATCAATCAACGGACCAAGTAATCGATGATTTGCTGAAAGTAAGTATAATTTCTATTTTCCGCCGCCGTCTAAAAGTAAAAATTTTTTGGTTAGCTATATACACTATTTTAATATTTCCCCAACAAATCTGCGCTTTTAACCCGGAGGACAATCTCTACGCTAATACAGCAAAAGATCTAAAAATTGCGCATTTTGATTGTCAACTAATGACATCGAATAAAATGTTCTCACTTATTAAAGTAGCCCCCTGCAAAAAACAACCTGAAAATATCGAAACTACAACAGCCGAGGTTACTCTTTACCAACGGCATTATAGTACAAAAATTAACGCGACAATGTGTCGTATAAAACACCAATCTATCCGATGGTTTTGTGATTCTTTCGATTCAAGCGGAATAGACGCTCGCCAAAATATAATCACAACTGATATACACATTTCCCCTGATACTTGTAAGCACGCCGCCGAACGGGGATATGTTAACTTAGGATACTCAAAAAATATTCCTTTTCGCTTCGACGAAAAAATGGTCACAAATACAAATAGAGGCAAAGTTGATGGCGAATACCACAACGAATGCAGCGATCGTTCTTGGATTCATTTGGATACTTTCGAATCATAAATGCAAAATATTTCCTTAACTGTCAATCTAAAAGATGGCACCGTTAATAACTGGCAAAACCTTCCATTACCTTGTCCTGTAAATGAAAACGGATGTGAAACAACATCACTCGACCCTTTTGCATATACTTGGAACGAGCCTGAAAACTGCATTTTTTCAGTTCTCAAAAAATTCGAAGCAAAAATGATTCGAAATGAAGAAAATTATTATATTGTAAAAGACTCTTTTACTAAAATATCCAACCACCATACTTGAGGTAGAGACACTCAACAATTTATGCTAAAAATACTAAATAAACCACAACCTTTATGTGGACACCCAAAAATAGTCTACCCGACCCAATACGAATCATTGTTCATAGCATACCAAAACGGTTTTATTATGGATACTGGTTTACAAATAAACCCGAGTGCTAATACAGGAATTATTCATTCGGAACTAAATTTGACTTACGTAAAATACGCAAAAAATGAAAATTATCCCTTTGCACCAGGACAAATAGACTACGAAGCTCATCTAGGAACAAAACTAGATTATATTCTTTTTCGAAGCTTTTACATGCTTCGAACTGCCGAATTGGCACTTTTAACGAATCAATGTGAGTTAGAACGCTCCATGATTCTCAATACTTTAATGCTCTCTATCGAAAGCCCGATTTTAGCCAGCTATATTTTGACCCGAAATAGGTCTATGTTTTTAGAGACCAATGGCAATGTTGCCTGGCTCTACCACTGCCCAAAATTTTATTCTCCATTATAATTAATGGATGCATGCTATAATCGGATACCAATTATGTATCGCGAAAAAATTCATTTCGTCGACCCGACCACTCGGCAAACTTTTAAATCAGCAGATCAACAAGACTGCTCCGATAAGCATTTGAATCTTTATCAACTAGATGTTGATAACGATAATTCTTGGATCGAACTTACACCCTGTATTACTAGAGTAAAAGGTCCAGATCTTTTTGAGCCGAAAGAAATTAAACGGCAAGTAAAACACACTCTTGCATTTAGTCATGATGCTTCTATTTACACTTATGCACAAACGCAAAAATTTTGGAGCATGATTACCGATCACTCTGAAATGAAAGGTATTCTACAAAAAGTATCCCAAACTTTTTTAATGCAAGAAAACACTTCTATCCGGACTCGAGTAGTCAATACGGATCTACGCAAAACATATACTTAGACTATCTTATCTCGCCTGATTTTTGGAAGAACGAGTACACTCGTGTTTTTGGTACAATACAGTACTATTTAGAAAGATGCGGAATAATATTCGCCTCTTTCCTTTTCTTCAAGTTTATACTCGACGCTCTTGTATTTGTAATAAAAATATTACACATACACAAACTAACCGGCCGAACTCTTCATTTCGGAAAAATTATGTTAGCCGCTTCTTACAATATACTTTTCACTTCTATAGTGACTTCAATATTCGCTCAAAATGAGAACGATCAAAATATTGAGCTTGATCATATGCCTCAGGCACCTCAACAAGAGGATTCTGAAAACGAAAATCAGGATAAAAATTGTCCTAGACTCCAACTAGTCGATTACAATAATCGACCCGCTGTACCGGTCTAATTTATTTATGTTTTAGGATATGCCCACTGATCTTCTTCAAACTCCACTTCAAACATTTTTTGGTTAGCTATATACACTATTTTAATATTTCCCCAACAAATCTGCGCTTTTAACCCGGAGGACAATCTCTACGCTAATACAGCAAAAGATCTAAAAATTGCGCATTTTGATTGTCAACTAATGACATCGAATAAAATGTTCTCACTTATTAAAGTAGCCCCCTGCAAAAAACAACCTGAAAATATCGAAACTACAACAGCCGAGGTTACTCTTTACCAACGGCATTATAGTACAAAAATTAACGCGACAATGTGTCGTATAAAACACCAATCTATCCGATGGTTTTGTGATTCTTTCGATTCAAGCGGAATAGACGCTCGCCAAAATATAATCACAACTGATATACACATTTCCCCTGATACTTGTAAGCACGCCGCCGAACGGGGATATGTTAACTTAGGATACTCAAAAAATATTCCTTTTCGCTTCGACGAAAAAATGGTCACAAATACAAATAGAGGCAAAGTTGATGGCGAATACCACAACGAATGCAGCGATCGTTCTTGGATTCATTTGGATACTTTCGAATCATAAATGCAAAATATTTCCTTAACTGTCAATCTAAAAGATGGCACCGTTAATAACTGGCAAAACCTTCCATTACCTTGTCCTGTAAATGAAAACGGATGTGAAACAACATCACTCGACCCTTTTGCATATACTTGGAACGAGCCTGAAAACTGCATTTTTTCAGTTCTCAAAAAATTCGAAGCAAAAATGATTCGAAATGAAGAAAAATATTATATTGTAAAAGACTCTTTTACTAAAATATCCAACCACCATACTTGAGGTAGAGACACTCAACAATTTATGCTAAAAATACTAAATAAACCACAATCTTTATGTGGACACCCAAAAATAGTCTACCCGACCCAA